ATCCCTAACCTAACTTAACTAAAAAACAAATTGGGGGTACATAAATATCATCGTAAGTCATGTTTTTATTTACATATTACAATACCTGGAGCTGGCAGATGCCTGCCCCACTTTTTCGGAGAGAGGGGTGAACTTTTGGAATAATCTGCCAGAAAGTGTTGTAACGGCACCGAGGGTGAGCTCATTCAAGGCCAGACTTGACCAACACTGGAGCAGGTTCAGGTACATTCAGAAGCCAGTGCATGCCCAGTACTTGCCAACGTGCGCAACAGAGTCGTGACCGAACAACCAAGAAGCTAATGAACCGATCAGTGGTGAAGAGGATAAAAGTACAGAATAGGAAAGTATTATTACTTACTATTACATGAGCAATGGACTGAAAAAATAGCCCAAAGAGCCTGTCAGGCTATTTTACCGTGACCAGTAATTTATCCTAACGGAAATTGAAAACCTCCCGTAACTTTTATAATGTACTTTTTAAAAATTTGTGTGTTTTGCTATTTAAGAATCATTCTGAGTAATAGGGTAGATTTAATGTGGGTTTTTTCAGTTTGGGGGCTTGTAGCAGATTTTGATGAAAATCGGTATAATAATGCAGTTTTTTTTACACTAATTCCAAAAATAACTAAATTTTTGGAGACTTGAACTGAACCAAAACACTATCGTAGACTTCAATAACTAATTGAGAGAGGTAAGTTTTTGAATAACCCAACCAACCTAATCTAACCAAACCTAAACCTATACATAACGTAACCTATCCTGATCTAACCTAACCTACCTAACTTTCTCCATTTCTCCAATTTGGACGAATGGGATAATTGTATTGTATTGAAGTACCTATGTATTTGTATGATCTGTCTATGCATTTATTTGTATTTGTCTGAAACATATCTGTCTATGCATTTATCTGCCTATAAATACAACTTAATATGCCGTAACTTTTTTTTTTATTTCTGAAAAAATTGAAAGAAAATTATTTTTGGAATCAGCGTAAAAAACTGTACTAGTGTACCGATTTTCATTAAAATCTGCTGCTAGCCCCCAAACGGAAATGACCCGATTTAATCCTAACAGTGAGGTCAATCTACTTAAGTTTACAAGGGTTGACAATACAGGTACTCCTCGACTTACGACCTACTCGACTTATGACCACCTGGACATACGACCGCCGCATTCTTATAAAATGTTTTTCAAATTACGTATTTTCGAGTCCCGACGTTAGCGATCGCGCCTTGTACTAACAAAATTTTTGTTTGTAATTCCCTGTAAAATGGTTGGCAAGCATAAAAGTGAGAGTTCTCATGGTGCTGAGAAGAAAAAGAGACACCCATTTAAGATTTTCTATGTATTATTTTCGCATTTTCGACTTATGACCAATTTGACTTACGACCTGGTCGTCGGTCCCTAACCCTGTCGTAAGTCGAGGAATGACTGTAATGTTGTTAATGTAGGCATCATTGGTAAGGTTATTAAGTCATACATATACTGTACAGTAATAAGGTAGTCCCAGTAAGTTCCTTCAGTTGTGGGTCGATGACCTGTGCCCGGATGGACTATTCCCAGTAAAAAAGAACTTGTGTATTTACTTCACTGGAAAACTTTAGATAATAAGGTAAAAATCAATCGGTAATATTGCAGTTTATAGCAACCACAAAATTCCGGAAATTCACTACACTCAATCGACAGAACTATTTTTTCTATGATAATTTTCTTATACAGTATTACACCTCCGTCGCAAATTGATTATAAGGAAGTTATTGAATTTTAAAAAGAATAAAATCAGAGCACCTGTTGCCCCTACGCTGCTCTTCAAGTTGTGTGTTCGTACGTTCGCTTACCTCCCGCGCATGTGCCGGGGGTGGCCGCCAATCAAATCAGAGGGGGCCGCAGCCAATCAAATCCAATAAAAAATCTCAACATTTGATTCAACCAATTAGCTATCAATATTCGGCGTGGGTGGTAGGATGCGATTTCAATTATTGTAAGTTTATTGCATTATTTCATTCTAAAAATAAGGAAACTTTAGAGAACAGAGGAACCCAAGACGCATTCTGGTCCCTGACTCAGACTCGGAGTAAGGTAAGAAATACTATAACGGGGATCCGCCCCTGGCTACGGGGTTAGGTAAGATTAAGTTTGGTTATATTATATAAGTTAGCAAGCACAGAGTACCGGGAATTCAGAACAAGCAACCGATAGAACTATTATGAGGGGGGGATTCAAAACGAGTGATTTCCGATAAAAACTAATGTCAAATTTAAACCAATCGCATCAAGGTAGCTGATCTGACTTTCTGCCTCATTTACACACAATTGCAGGGTCTCAATTGTTTCTCTTACCATTGACAACACAACATACAGTACATATATTGTTTCTCACTTTTCATCTTTTTTTCATTTTTGTAATTCTTTATTATTACTATTATTATTATTATTATTATTATTAAATTTTCGCCCCCATGCCCCGATGTGGGTCAGTGACCTGTGCCCGGGTGGGCTAATCCCCGTAAAAAAAAAAAAAATATATATATATATATATATATATATATATATATATATATATATATATATATATATATATATATATATATATATATATATATATATATATATATATATATATATATATATATATATATATATATATATATATATATATATATATATATATATATATATATATATATATATATATATATATATATATACTGTATATATATATATATATATATATATATATATATATATATATATATATATATATATATATACACAGTATTACCCCGCTTTACGCGGTTTCACTTTCCGCGATTTCTCATTTACGCGGTGCCTCGCCACAACCGAACTTTCACTTTCCGCGGTGCCTCGCCAGGACCGAAACTTTCACTTTCCGCGGTGCATCTACTCATATACGCTGGAAGCGGCACAGGCAGGATGCGCACAAGGTTGCCCAGTCATCAAAACATTACCGAGTTCTTCACCCGCCACCCACCACAGCCGGCCCAAGTCAGTGATAGTGATAATTATAGAGAGGATATGGACTTATATGGACTTTGAGGGGTTTGACAAAGAGGCCCTGCAAGCCTCTGTGGTGGATAAAAATACAATTGATACAAGTGATACAGGTGAGGGCCAATAATCTGCCCTCTGCCTCGGAACCAACTCCCCATCCCCGTGTGCCCAGCCATCTTTTCTACTAATGTAAGTGTTAAAAAAACTAATATTATTGATATTTCTCTTAATTATTAATTGTGTGCATACCATCATAAAGTTAAGATAATATTTTTACTACAACATAGTTGTGTGTCGTCAAAAAGTGGAGTTTGGGGGTCAGGCCAGTCTCTATTGGAATTAATCCCATATGTTCTGTTGTTCACTTTACGCGGTTTTCACTTTACGCGGTACCCTGTGGGTTCAATTGACCGGCTAAATCGGGGTACTACTGTATAAGTATAAAAAAAAATATCAGATTCTTTGGTTGCTGTAATCTGCAATTTTACCAATCAATCAAACTACAGTAATTCTGCAAAAAAAGCACTATACCTGTACTGTACTTCCTTAAACGATATAAAAGATGTATGTTGCTATGATTATGTTCAGAGATGCATTTCTAGAAGTCTCAAATCCTCCCATTCAATCACAAAAAATCTACACCAATGAACCAGTCAAGGTTGGACTTGAACGAGTTCATAGTGCCATTACGAAATTCTGTAGCAGGTTATTCCAAGAGTTCACAATTCGTTATTATTTTCTTGTAGCTCCGTTCATTCCTACCACTAATCTATTTTCATATTCGAATAAGACGTCTAATTATAAGATAATTTTCATCTATTACATTACCGGCGGAAATGCATAATAACGGAGGTAGCTCTTCCAATTTTGTTTTCTATTTTCTTCCATTAACATCGCGCCATTATTGTCTGCCTCTCCTCCAACACTGTGTGTCTCCTGTGTCCCCTTCATAAATCTTCCTGCGCATGCGTTGCTGTACACGTCACGCGGCCAATCAAAAGCCTTTTTTTATTTTGAAACCAATTAAAAGTTTTTGGGTTTAATTCGCGGTTTTTTTGACCCAATCAAATTCGAGTATTCTTTTTGGTCTCTCATATTTTGAAATTCAAGTTCAGTTCCGACCATGGAAGTCTGCGATGGGTGTCACTTCAATTACAGTATATGGAGCTGATTGCGAGTTTTTGGAAAAAAACGAAGAAACTATAGCATTTTTTCGATCGCATGGTGTTCTTCCAACCTCAGTAAAGTGTTCTAAGTGCAAGATTGAATGTAAATATAGCAAAGACCAACATATGTGACGTTGTGTAAGAATCCCAGAATGCAACGATGAACAAGAACCAGGCCAATAAGGTAAGAAATAGGTGATTCCATCATATGGTGAGAGCCAGTTAAGTTAGATTAGGTTAGGTTTGGTTATTGTTTTTCTATTGTTTTATTGTGTATTTCTTTGTCGCTTAGGCACTTTTTTTTCTCGGAAAACGTCAAACGAAAAAAATCGCTAAAAACCCCCGGCTAATTTCCGCCAAAAAGGAAGGTCATATTCGGTGTCAGCACACACAAATACACCAGAAAAATATATTTTTAACTTACTACAAGTGAACGGAGCTACAAGAAAAATTTACCCACAATTCTTTCTCCAAAGACGTTAGGTCTGAAAGTTTTCTTTACCATGCCCAGTACTTGCGAACAGTGCGTAAGAGACGTGACTGATCACCTAAGCGCCTAACGAGCCGATCAGCGGTGAAGAGGATAAAAGTAAAAGTAAAGATTATTAGGTTGTGTCTTAGAGTGGGGCGACCATCGGCTAGCTCCAGATATTAACGGCGATACAGGAAATGTGCGAAATTACAATACAGTACTTAATATTATCAACCAAAAAATAACAAACAGCCTAGGGATTAGAAATGCTTCACAACGATAATTTAAGTACAACAAATATTCTTAGTAAGCCCGAGAATAACAGCAAAGATGGACCCACTAACAACTCACCTTACTGCATAAACTGTGGCTCAGTGAAAGTGATTTGCGTGGTGAATTTCTTCTTTGATGCGTGTGTAATCCATACAAAGAAGCGTATCCTAGTAATCCCCTGGAAAATGAAGATTCCGTCAATTTTTTACTGGTGCACTGCCAGTATGATATCAGCTGTAGAGCCATAACTCGCGGAAGAATACATAACATATGTTTACTGAGAATTTTGACGCGGCTTATTTAAAACTGAAATCATTGTAAATTACATCTGATTGTCACTACCATCACAATAGGCATTATATATGTGTATTATCTTATATTTTATTATATAACCTGATGCATGTTTGGTATAATCTATAGAAACTAAACAGTACTTAATATTTCAATATTAAGAAATGATATTAATCATTAGAATACTTTTTGACAATCGCGATTGTCGTTTGGCATCAAGCATAGAACCTAGTTATAGGTTTCAAAAGAACAAACATTTATTGAGGTACAAACACCTATTTTTGGAGTGAGTAAGCACGTGTTATCAGTGGCTGCTAAAAAGACTTGCAAACATGGCACCAGTCTTTCTATGGTGTCCTTTTACATACTTCCAGGGAGCGTTTCCGAAAGAAAATAATATTATTTTCCATAGGATTGAATACTTACAACATATTTATAACAGAGGCTATTGACACTTAGGTACTGTAAGACCAATATAGATTTTGTGAGTCATTAACGGGCCCCACAACACTGTGGAAAATACCGGTTTAGGATGAAAGTGATTACATTTTGATACATCTGTAAACTATTTCGATGTTATCAATTACAAATTAATCATAAATTTAATTTATTAAATATATAAATAACCTGTATTGCTTTATATTACAGATAAAATATACGAAATGGCGGGGACTTGTTCCTGTTGCGGATGATTGTGCACGCGCGGTCGGCACCAAAACACGAGAGGGGATGGCAAAGACGGCATTCAGCACGTGTCTTTCTTAGAGTACGTGTCTCGGGGGGGCCTTGTCACTACGACCGCCTAAGTGACTTGACATAAGTGTTAGATAATCCATAGAACAATAGCTTTGGGTGTGTGCTATGATGGCATAATGACGTGGCTATTACATTCAAAATGTGGTAACAGTAAGAGTGTTTCACGAACAAAGTAGGCGAGGTGTGAAGAGAGGTTTTCCTGGCGACCTGCGCGGTGCAGCAGGGCTGGGAATGACGTCCGCCGCCGCCCAGGCCTCACCATCCCTATTTACTACTCTTAAAGTTTCATCCCGGTGGGGATTTCCAGTTTCCTGGCAACTCCGTCAATCGTTCCAGTATCCTGTGGTGATGTAGAACGTATAACGCCGTTGTTTATCGTCTTGGCAGTAACTTATGGTCAGGTTCCTAGCTATGCATTTTTGGGATTCGATCAGCGTAGGTTGAAGGCTGTGAGAACAAGTGACCTACTTCTTTGATGGTGACCTGGCTGGGTCATGCTATCAGCGGTGTAGGGTTGAGTGGACATACTGTAGTACAAGTATCACTTTGAGGCAGGCAGGTAACTTCTGCCTTCACCTGGATTACCTTGAAAATCGTACAAGTATGGCAAGGACTCCCTGGTTCCTTAAACTTCCTGTTTGCATATGTTCCTAATATATAATCCAGTGTATAATGGATGGAATACATAACCTTGAAAAATATTGTAGAGTAGTGCAGTAGAATTGCCATGTACCTTATGACAGGTAGGGTGAAGTGTTCACAGTACCACATACCTTACCTGACGATCCATAGTAAAACATACTTAGATCGTTGAAGGATTGATAATAAAAGTATACTGTATATTGATTTTGGTATGAGTGAAGGTAGACATACGTGGCGGTCATTTCGTCTCGCTGCGATACGCTTAAATAGCAAGTTGGCAACGTTCTAACGTGAGCGAAATTATTTGAATGTCATATGTATATGGCATTTCCTTTCTTCTAAACAGCGGTAATGGAGAGGAATTTGTATTGTAATAGTTACATGGAAATGTGTCTAATTCAAGTATTGGGACAGACAAATTGTGGGTTACATTTCAGGACTTGTATCACATATTCCAACGCATTATATTTTATTAACTAGATAACCCAAATACTGTACATCGTAAACGGAAAACACGCATTTTTACTTTATCTTCAAAAAATGTTGAAAGGACTTTGTGGCGTGTTTGTTTATTAAATAAATCACACAATTGGCATGTAAAAAGTTTAAGATTTGGCAATCATATTAGTCTTACAAACGTTAATACGTCTTCTCTAATTTTACATTTGGTGCAGTTATATATATATATATATATATATATATATATATATATATATATATATATATATATATATATATATATATATATATATATATATTTATAGATATATATATATATATATTTATAGATATATATATATATATATTTATAGATATATATATATATATATTTATAGATATATATATATATATTTATATTTATATATATATATATATATATATTTATATTTATATATTGATGGTGGATGATGTTATATGTAGTGATGATGGATGATGTTATATGTAGTGATGATGGATGATGTTCTATGTAGTGATGATGGGTGGTGTTATATGCAGTGATGATTAGACAATAAAATAATAACAGTTTAATGCTAAAAAATATACTTTGCTGTACCGTTGTAGTGAAACTTACATACACCGTTAATGAACTATTGATGGAAGAAGAAGTTTTGGGGACTGAACAGTAGTAGCAAAGAGGGAGTTACTCAGAGAGACAGACTACTCAGTTGAAGTTCTGGTGAATTTTCTTGAAGAAAATGAGCCTCACATGGTGCCTGATCAAGCAAATGCTTATGAACAGATCTTGCAAGCGATACAAGCGGAGCAGGGAAGTATGATCTTTCTCGATGCACCTGGCAGGACAGGAGAAACATTCCTGATCAACCTTCTGTTGGCTCACAATGAGAATCCAATGTGCAACATTAAAAAAGGATCGGCAAAGACAAAACTCTTAGAAAAATGCAGCCTCATAGTTTGGGATGAATGCACTATGTCTCAAGTTAGCGTTTGAAGCATTGGACAGGACCTTGCAAGACATACGAGAAAATGACCATCCATCATCACTACATATAACACCACCCATCATCACTACATATAAGGCTAACCCCCTTAAAAAAAAAAAGACGACCGATCGCCCAAGCGGCGAACGAGCCGATCAGTGGTGAAGAGGATAAAAGTATAATGTGTTGTGTAATGGTAGACCCTGCTGCCATATGGCATCACAAAAATTTTGACCAAGTCCCAGGTTGCTGATCTGACTTTCTGCCTCATATACACAATTGCAGGGTTTCAATGGTTTCTCTTACTGTATCCAACACAACATACATAATGTATATCGTTTCACACTCTTGGTTTATTTTTTCGATTTTGTATTTATTTATGGTATTATTTATTTATTATTTTTATCTATTTCTTAATTATTATTATATTGTCGCCCCCAAGGCCCTGATGTGGGTCAGTGACCTGTGCTCGGGTGGGCTAATCCCCGTATATATTATATATATATATATATATATATATATATATATATATATATATATATATATATATATATATATATATATATATATATAGATAGATAGATAAAACAAAAAGTATAGTGCACTCTTTTTCATGATGTCTTTTACAGTGGGATTTCAGTGTTACATAATTTCTTTATATACAGTATACATGTATACTTGTGTCTGATATATATATGCCTGTGTGTGTATGTTCGCACCCTGACTGTTATTACAAAGATTAGGCTTTACAATTTCCAAAGCAAATCTTGCAACTGCGCCTCAGACGATGTGTGTCGTCAGTGTGTACGTGACCTGTATCTGCTGTATGAAGCAAGATGAACTACGTAATCCATGCAAGTTTCTTTGGTGAAGAATAGTGGACGCTTACTGTACTTAATTTTCATTCGTAATAACTATATAACTAATAACTGTAGTAATATAAAAACCGACATACGATGTATTCGGCAACGTAGTAATTCTTTGCCCAAGCAGCTAACGAGCCGATCAGTGGTGAAGAGGATAAAAGAATATTTTGTGACGTAACTTGTCTTGATGGAAGGAGAATTGTGAGCAGTGCACACTGTACTCTGTACAGTATACTTAGGGGTTGACAGGACTGAATTGTCAATAGTAGTAAGAGGCTTTTGAATTTTCAAGGTATGTACTTGTTAACAGGATTTTTTTTATTACTTGTTCACATAAAACGTATGAGTCCAGCTACGAATATTGATTTCAAATTGATTGCAGTACTCAAATGCTGCATAACTCCGGTATTCTGTGTATTACGTCACATCCTGTACGTTCAAATAATTTGACTATGTTTGTTATCCGTTCTTATACGAGAGCAGCCATTAAAAACACCATAGTTAATCTGTTTGAATTAAGAGCTAACTGTTTTAGTTAGACTGGTGGTTTATTATTATATATTTATGAAATCTCTGTACTTGTGCTGTTATTGTACTACTTCCTAACTAGTAAATGCGAGCAACACTACTCCTGTCAAGCGTGTAAATTATTGAGTATACTGTACTAAGAATTACATGATTGGCTATATAAAGTATCATTAAAGTGGAATTTTGGTGGTTGAACAACACCCGAAAAACTTGCCACACAGCTGGAATTTAAACTCCCCAATACCAGAAATGCAGTCAAGGCAAACCCTCTGTTGGTAAATGAAAAAAAGAAAGAAACTCTTCTGAGGTACAATTAGGTTTTAGTTACCACCCGGAAGATCCCACCAGGAATACCTACGGGATAAGCATGTAAACTTGTCCGGGTTAAAAAGCAAGGAGAAAAAAAAACTGGTCTGGCGAGTTACGAGATTGAGGACCTTATATTAGTGCTGCTGTTGGCGCCACAATAGTCTACTTGAATTGTGCCCGATCTCTCTTGTATTATGGTCCCTTTACATGACAGTGAGGTAGTTCATTGTTGAATTGGGTAGAAATTGGGTCGTATAAATTTATAACTAGTTTTAATAACATGAAAATTTTAACATTAAGCGCTTCTAGTTGTTTATTTATGGCTACAAATTATATAAAAGAATTAGTATGACAGAAGAAAGGTACAAAATTAAGAAAAGATGGAAAAATTATACCCGGTACTTGATATTCCAGACACGTGAGGCCACTCGGTTGCCATGGCCTTGGTTGTGGACTGGCAGCCTTTCTTGCTTGAGTGATGCCACACTGCACCTTACTCATTTATTTTTCATTCACCATATGCAGACATGGCGGAAGCACTAAACTTACTAAAGTAATGTTGTTGTAAATAAACATAGTTGTATCTTAGTCAGGGAACTGGTTTAGGTGTATGACTATTACGATGGTAGTTCCTTGCTGAGGCAAAGCTCCTCTTTAATAGTATTTATTTTTGAGGGGGATGACTATACTTTGTTGGAGTCGGTTCTTTGACTTGTTCACATGTTGGTCGCCTACCTTAAAAAGCATTTTTTTATAGCATTTATATGGTTGATTTGACTTCCCATTCATTCCTTCATGTTTACTTTTATTCTCTTCACCACTGATTAGATGTCACCTATACCTTTTCATATGATCTGCCACGATTCAAACGCCATTTTTATCGTTACCAAACAAGACCAAGTCCCAGGTTGCTGAACTGACTTTCTGCCTCATTTTCACAATTGCAGGGTTTCAATTGTTTCTCTTAGTATTGGCAACACAACATACATACTGTATTTTGTAGGGGTATCGAGATATTAATGTTGTCTAGCACTCAGGATGGAAGGAAACTCTAATGTGGTTTTCTTGTATAATATATAAGTTATATGATAGACAGTCTGGTGCTGGAGATGCCGTGTGGTGGGGAGCTGCTCAGTAGAAGACGTTCGGTGAGTAGCGTGTTGAAGGAGGTAGATGTGCAGGAGCTTTGTTAGAGAAGATGTTGCCTGTTGCTGGCCTCCTGGTTGAATGAATGCTGGATAGCTAGGAGCTTGCTGGAGGAGGTGTTGCGTGTTCAGGAAGATGGGCCAGAATGAGAGTTGGTTGGTGAGGAAGCTCAGAGGACATGCTCGCTGGCGGGAGCGAGGACCGCCAGGCAGGCGAGGAGAAGCGAGGGGCCGCCAGGCAGCGGCGGAGGAGGAGGTGGTGTTGCTTGTTCAGGAAGAATGGTCAGAATGAATTCTCAATGGAGAGACAGAGCTTATATACCCAGCAGCAGCCGCTATGAGTCATGTTGGGAAAACCCAGAAAGTCGCCGGTGAATAGTTTCGTTGCTAGGCAACGGCAAGTCGGAATGCGTGGAGGTGCCGTGTGGTGGCAGTGGCTACGCAGTTGTAGGCAGTTGTAGGGGAGACGTCCACTACAATTTCGTTTCCCACGCTTAATTTATTTATTCGTTTTTGTATTTATTATTTTATTTTTTTGTATAATTTTATCTATTTTTATTAATTATTATTATAATAATAATAATTATTGTTATCGCCACACGCAATTGTGAACGATGGCCATATGTTAAGTGAAGAAACTTTACAACTCGGAATAGCTTACTAAGCGAGATGGAGCTGGTAGCAGCTGTGTGACTGCCTGAGGGGCAGACTATGCCTTCTACTGTAGAGGCAACATCTTGATTCTCGTCAGCCAACAATCCACCTGCCGCCCTCGTTGAGGTCTGCTCCATGTAGTCCATGACTAGTGTCGTCGGCTGGGTTCATTGCCGACTTCACATGTATCGTTGCCACTCAATTGGCCACGAAGGAATGGAAGCGTCTTTCTGTGTTTCGTATGTACTGAAAGACTGCCGTACTGTCTGTTCAGAAAACTGATTTGTCTATTTGTAATTCAAGTTCTCGTTGTAGTTGTTTGTCTGCCTTGGCAGCCAGTACTGCCGCGCAGAGCTCGAGTCGAGGTATGGTCTGCTATTTCAGAGGGGCTACATTGCCTTGCCACACACAAAGGAGATATGGTGGGTTCCATCTTCACACGTGGTCCTCAGATACGATACAGCTCCATACGCTTGTTGGGAGGTGTCGTAGAAGTGTAGTTGCACGGCAGCCACTGGATTTGCATCCTCGGGTGGGTAGCACCGTGGAACGTGTACCTGTGATAGGTGAGGAAGTTTATAAAGCCAACTTCACCAAGCCACCCTGTTCTGTTCAGCCATTCGTTCATCCCACCCAACTCCTCGTCTACACTCATCTTGGAATATAATTTTGGCTCTTATGACGCTCGGAGCAATGAGTCCCAGTGGGTCATATATGGAGCTGACCATACTCAGAAGGCCTCGTTTCATCTCCGAATTTAATGTTGCCATTCTGACAAAGTGGTTCGGCATAATCACGGCTCACCACTCCAAGCGGTCCATTTATAGTCCAGCCCAGATGGGTGTGTGTTGCAAACGACTCTCCGTCCTTCCTGGCCCTTACTTTTAACGGCACTAATACTTGTGGTACATCCAGACCTATCAGGAGACCCACTCTTTTCGGTGCTTGGTGTAGTGCAGTACCTTGGAGGTGTTCCCACATGGTGATGTCTTGGGTGTCTTCGACCGAAAACCCTCAGAGAAGACTGTAGATTCTCAACAACAATGACCTTGGGGAAAGTGATGGATCGGCTCTTTCTTACTCCTACACTAGCCACTTTTACACTGATCTCTTCGGTGTTTACACTACTTCTTTCTTTCATGATCGTGCCAAGGGAAAAAACTGGCCTTCCCTCTGCCTGCAGCCGGTTAGCTAGACTACGCGTGCAGTATGATCGGTTGCTGCCTGAATCCAAGAGAGCTCCGGTGACCACTGCTCCTTTTGCCTCTTGGTTTTTCTCCTCCACCCTGACTTTCACTATTGGAAATGTGACTCTGTTGGACTCTTGTAATCACAACTTGCAATTGTTGGGTTCTTCACGCCGATCATCAATTCCGTTGTTGGTTATGGTTTCCCTGACCCATCTATGAGGATTTCCTCTATTCGTGGTCACCAGCACGCTTTGTGTACTCCCAGTCCTTTTTCCCAAGTAGGCTTGTACCGGCTTCGGTCTTCCATGATTTAGCTCCACTAGTTGCCGATTTTGGTGGTGGCATAATGGCCTTAAGTTGACTCATTCTAGGTCGCTTGTGGTCAGGTGATATGTCTATTTGGTTAGTGCCCACAGTGATTGCTCTCTTCACCCTTTGGAAACTAGTCTGGTCTTCTCTTTCAACTTCGCCCAGTTGCGCCTTGCCACTGCTCGTCAGAACTTCCGTGAAGTGCAGAAGCCTTGAGTGTACTCCAGAGCAACCATCTTCTGGCTGCACTCCGTTATCCGGTGATTGCGACCCAGGCAGGCGAAGCAGCAATGTTCTTCCCTTACGAGGGAAGTTTGCTTCCCTGTGGACTTGCTGAGGAATGTCCGGCATATCTGAAGAAGGTGATCTCAACGGCATAACGAACAGCGTTCATCATCCGTTTCTCTGGTTGTCTTTATTCCTGACGTCACCAGACCCACAAGTTTCTTCCTCGACGAGGATTGGCGTGAGGGTGAGTCTGCATATATTCTGCTTGGTTCCTCTGGTCCTTGTCCCTTTGGGGCCTCCTCCGCCTTGTCGACCATATCCATAGTGAATTTCAACATCCACTCGATCCCAGGAGGCTTCCCTTGCTTCTTTTGTATTCATGCACCTCGCATTTTTGGGTCTAGGGTTAGACCAACGAGAACAAATACTGAATAATGTCCTGCAGGAAGATGTTGGCTGACGAGAATCAAGATGTTGCCTCTACTTTAGAAGGCGATAGTCTGCCCCTCAGGCAGTCACACAGCTGCTACCAGCTCCATCTCGCTTAGTAAGCTATTCTGAATTGTAAACAGTTTCTTCACTTAACATGTGGCCGGCGCGCACAATTGTGCGTGGCGATAACAATAATAATATTTTCGTCCCCCCAGGCCCTGATGTGGGTCAGTGACCTGTGCTAGGGTGGACTCATCCCCATAAAAAAAAGAGCTATTGACAAAAGCCTATTGTAATCCTAGGAGAGAATGTGAGCATGTTTTGTTTTTAAATTTTCCTTAATGAATATATTGTAAATTCTTTAGTGAGCTTTATCCAGTGGTAAATTTTCTGATGGGATTTTTTTCTTAGCGACATTGCCTAGTGCAATTTCATTCTGTGGAAAATTGTCTGATTCAATTTGATTTGATCAGAAATTGTCTAGTGAGATTTTATAT